CTTTTCGATCTCGTATTTCTATATCAAATTCCTTCAACAACAAAACCCAGCGCATCAATCTAGCCTTGGATTCTTTTTTTTTTTATAAATAAATACCTGATTGCTGCATGATCGGTATGAACTATGACTTTTGTTCCCACCAAGTATGCCCGAAATTTCTCAAAGGCCCACACAACGGCTAACACCTCCTTTTCAGTGGTAGTGTAATTCAGCTGTGAATCATCAAGAGTCTTACTCGCATAGTAGATGGAATAAAACACCTTGTCTTTCCTCTGGCCTAGCACTGCCCCAACAGCATGGTCACTCGCATCACACATAAGTTCAAATGGTAAGGACCAATCTGGTGCCACAATAATGGGAGCAGGCACCAACTTCTTTTTGAGTTCTTTAAATGCTTTAAGGCAGGCATCATCAAAATTGAAAGTTACATCTTTTTCAAGCAACTTGCACAAAGAAGTAGCAATTTTAGAAAAATCTTTAATAAAGCGCTGATAGAATCCCGCGTGCCCCAAGAAACTCCAGACACCTTTCACAGAAATAGGTGGAGGTTATTTTTCAACCACCTCCACCGTTGCCTTATCAACTTCAATGCCACTCCTAGACATTCTGTGACCCAAAACGATGCCTTCCTGCACCATAAAGTGACACTTCTCCCAATTCAATACCAGATTTGTTTCTTCACACCGGGCTAACACCTTGCTCAAATTCTTCAAACAATCATCATAAGAAGACCCAAAGACTGAAAAATCATCAATAAAAACTTCAAAAAAATTTTCCACCATATCGGTGAAAATAGCCATCATGCATCTCTGGAAAGTAGCTGGTGCATTACAAAGACCAAACAACATTCACTTGAAGGCGAAAGTGCCATAAGGACAAGTAAAAGTGGTCTTCTCCTGATCCTCTAGGCATATGACAATCTGATTATATCCCGAATAACCATCAAGGAAGCAATAATATTCATGCCCCGCTTATCTGTCCAACATTTGGTCAATGAATGGAAGTGGAAAGTGGTCCTTGCGGGTTGCTTTGTTGAGCCTTCTATAATCAATGCAGACTCTCCACCCCATCACAGTGCGAGTAGGAATTAGCTCATTTTTCTCATTCTCAGTTACAGTCATCCCCCCTTTTTGGGCACACATTGAACTGGGCTTACCCACTTGAACTAACACATCTTCAATCACTCCTTCAGGATGAGCAAGGGAGCGATCAACCAACTGCAAGATGACCGTTATTGGGCGTCGCTCACCCAACCCCAACTGTCTAAACACAGATAGCGGCATCAAATTAATGCTCGCTCCAAGATCACATAAGGCTCGCCCGATTGTATGCTTACCAATCTAGATTTAGATAGTGAAACTACCCGGATCCTTCAATTTTTGAGGTTGCTTGCTTTGAATTCTTGAGCTACATTCCACAGTGAGTGCCACAGTCTCGAACTCGGTCTACCTCCTTTTATTTGCCACTATGTCCTTGATGCATTTTGCATATTTGGGCACTTCTTGCAAGATGTATACCAAAGGAATATTAATTTGCACCAGCTTCAAAATATCAAGAAACTTCTTATATGCGGCATTATCCTTCACTTTCTGCAATCTTTGAGGGAAAGGAGGTAGTTGCCTCACAACCAATGGTGGAGGTTGCTTAGCCACCGCCTCTTCAGTTGGCTTCTCAGATTCCTTTGCTTTTTCTGATTCTGACTCTATAGTGGCTGGCCTCTCATTAAAACTCACCTGTTTTCTCTTTTTCGACTGGACTTCTTCTAATTGTCTCCCATTCCTCAATGAAACGGCATTAATGGATACCTTAGGATTAGCTTCAGTGTTACTTGGAAGAGCTCCAACTAGTCTAGTATTTTGGGCACTGGCAAGTTATCCCACTTGGAGCTCTAAATTTCTCATTGTTGTGGCTTGGGCTTGCTGATCAGCCATCAATTTCTTCATCATTTTCTCAAGGTGACTTGTTGAGTTTGCCGGTTGTTCAGCCTGAGGTGGTCTATATTGTTGTTGAGGTGCTTGTGGTCGGTATTGATTTTGAGCACCTTGATTTCCACTCGAAGAGAAGTCTGGGTGGTTCCTCCAATTGGGATTGTAAGTGTTCCCATATTGGTTTTTTTGGCCCCTATTTGCAATACCCACAAAGCAGACAGACTCTGGATTAACTGGGCATAAGTCGTTCGTGTGACCCTCTCCGCATACTTCAAAAAATAATGGAACCTGTTGCACTGGTTGAGATTGTTGTTTGTTAATAACTATGGTCATCTGATTGACTTGGTTTGTGAGTGTAGAAATCTGTGTTGATAATGCCGAGACGACATCTAACTCGAGAACCCCTGCAGATTTTTGCACCGTGTGTCTGCCCATTTCTCCTTGCCAATCTGGATTGCTTTTGGAGAATTTGTTCAGTAATGCATATATCTTATCAAAGCTTTTCTCCAACATTTGACCTCCAGCTGCAGCATCTACCACAAATTTTGTTTCAGGATGTAGCCCTTCTATGGAAGTGTTAGCTAACACTTCGTTTGTCTGATTGTGATGAGGACAGTCTCTGAGTAGCCCCTTGAACCTCTCCCAAGCTGAGTATAAAGACTCTCCCGCTTTCTGTTTGAAGGCAACTATCTCACTTCTGATCTTTGCAGTTTTTCCTGAAGGGAAGAACCTTGTCAGAAATTTCCTTGCCAGATCATTCCATGATGTAATAGAATTAGCTGGTTCTACCTTCAGCCATCGCTTTGCTTTGCCCAACAGAGAGAATGAAAAAAGTGTGAGCCTTACATAGTCTGTAGTGACCCCGTTAGTGATATAAGTATCACTAATTTCCAATAAGTTCAGGATATGCTGTTGTGGATCCTCGTGTGGAAGACCCATAAACTGCCCATTCGCATGAAGTAGCTGGATCATGCTCTGTTTCAGCTCAAAGTGCCCAGTCATCCTGGGCTTCACAATGCTGGAGGTAACATTAGCAATGCTGGGCATTGCCATCTCCTGAACAACCATATGTTCCTCTGCCATGTTCACAGGAAATTGTACAAGTGCCTAAATATTATTCGTGTCCCTTGCTTCCCTCAACCTCCTATGAAATATTCTCTTAGGTTCGGGGTCAAAGCCTTGAAGTCGCTCCTGGCTTCTGACCCTGTGCATTCAATCAAAGTTCCTGAGATCCGAGTAAAAATCAAGTAACGTCAGACTTGACGAAATAAACAATGAAAGTAGAAACTAGAAAGTAGTCAATATTCAAGTCCCCGACAACGACGCCAAAAACTTGTTGCTCCCAAACGCACACGCAAGTATACGTGGTCGTACAAGTAATAAAATGATAAGTCGAGTGTCGAACCCACAAAGACTTATATCAACTACCCACAAAAATCACCAAGATTGTTATTCAGTCAAGCCAAATTCGAGTTCAAGAATGAGGTTATACTAAACTATACTTCTAAGGAGTAACTAAATTATCAAGCAGTAAAATAGTTGTTGTTTATTCAGTAGAGATAAATATTCTAGGGTTGTGATCGATTCACCAATTCTATTGTATTCTAGTTAACTCTCCCTTTCATACAATTCACTCATGGTTGCTAATTAATCGATAATTGCTCTCGTAGCCTTCTCTCGAAGTACTACTCGCCTATTCAAAATAGATTAACGCCTATATTCCTATGGAATCAATCTATCAAGAACGCATTAAGATTATGATATTTATTTAAGCACGGTGACTAGGGATATTCCTATCCTAACCACAAATCCGCTCCCCCTAAGAGTTAAGATCATGCTCTCTGCAATTCTTCTCTAATCTAAACATGACTTTCCCAAGCATAGCATAGATAGTAAATAGAACCTAACTGCTGGCCAGACAATTAAGCAATTAATCACAGAATTGAAGAAAAAACCACATAATAGTGAATTGTAATCAAGGTTAAGTCAACGTTAAACAACAATATTCATGGCTAAATCACAACCCCAGAACTATGGATTTTAGCCACTCATGATAATAGCAAATAATTTCATAAGTGTTGGATAATTTAAAATATTAAGAAAAGATGAAGAAAACTGAGATCTCTTCGCTCTCGGATGTTTCTCGTGTGTATTCTACCTTCAAAGTGTCATCTCCTCCCTAAAAATAAGCTTAGTCTTGCTTTTATACGTGTTGGGTAGGTCTAGGGCCGAAATAACCTTGTCCCGGGCAAAGTTGGATAGAATTCACGCCACCAACGCCCAGCCCAACTGGTAATTGAAGCTTACTGTCTCTGGCACCACAGGTAGCACCAGGCGCTGGCTGTGGCGCTGGAAATTCCCTTTTTTTTGTTTTTTCGTCCGTTTTGGTTCTAATCTCGCACCTTTCGCCCCCAATTGCTCCCGGATCATTCCTACACATAAAAATACCTCAAATTAATATAAGTCAACACATGTTACATCCTAAATCCACGAAACAAAAGTAAAACATGAGGCGATATACATATAAATATATATACTTTAAGACAAACATCAGTTATGCTCTGGATGCTACAGCAACACGGGTCTTCACCGACATTCGGCAGCTTTTTGGCATCCTCGGTACTAATCCAGGTTCTATCGTTCTTTCCTTTGGTAATTCATAATTGTTTTTGCTAGTTTTTGCCCGTCTTTACATTATTTTGCCTTAGACTTTTGTTTCCAATTTGACGTGCCATTCTTTAGTTGTGTTTTTTTACATTTGGACTTGCTTTGATTTCCGTTTCTGTGACTACGGTCTTGTATATATAGTAGACTTTATTTCCTTCGTAGTTTATCTTGCCATAGGTTGTAGTGGTTCTAGCATAGTATCCGTTAGATAAGAGTGGCAGGTGTGAGTGACGACAAAGTGAGGTCATGTCCTTGGGTGGGGCAGGGGGTGGGGGCCAAGGGTAGTAGGGGGTAAGGGCTCCACTAGGCTGCGTGTTGGGTCCTTGAATATAGGGACATTGACAGGGAAGTCTATAGAACTAGGGAAGATTCTCCAGAAGAGGAGGATCAATATAGCGTGTGTCCATGAGACTAGATGGGTGGGGCAAGAACGGGGTAGGTATCTTAGTAGACAAGGATCTCAGGGAGCTGGTGGACGATGTTAAGAGCGTGAATGATAGATTGATGACTATTATGCAAGTGGTTGGTGTGCTCACTTTAAGTATGGTTAGTGTATACGCCACCGCAAGCGGACTTGGGAAAGGAGGTCAAGAGGTAACTCTGGGAGGATTTAGATGAGGTGGTGCATGGTATTCCGCACACCAATAAGATTTTCATAGGAGGTGATTTTAATGGTCATATTGGGGAGACGGCTAGGGGCTATGATGATGTGCATGGCGATTTTGGTTTTGGGGTTCAGAATGAAGGTTGTACTTCGTTGTTGTATTTTGCTAGAGCCTTTGATTTGGAGATAGCTAACTCATATTTTCATAAGAGGGTGGACCACTTGTTCACGTTCCGGAGTTTGGTGGCTAAGACTCAGATTGATTACTTACTCTGCAGGAAGAGGGATAGAGGCCTTTGCACTGATTGCAAGGTTATTCTGAGTGAGTGTCTTTCGGCCCAACATAGGCTCTTGGTTATGGACTTGGAGATTAAGAGGGAGAAGAAGAAGAGAGCGGTGTTTGGTCAACCTATGATCAAGTGGGGAGCCTTGACTGAGGACAAAGCTCAGGCTCTGGGGAGAAGTTGTTGGATATTAGGGCTTGGAGGAGTTGTGGGGACACGAATAGTATGTGGACCTCGACAACGAACTGCATTAGGGAAGATACTAGAGCGGTGTTAGAGGTCACGAAGGGTTTCTCCAGGGGTCACGGAGGTGACTTGTGGTGGAATGGATAGGTCTAAGGTAAAGTAGAAGCCAAGAAAGCGGCGTATATGAAATTAGTGGAAAACGCTGACGAGGAAGAGGGGAGGACGAGTAGGGAGTATTATAAGAAGGCTAAGAAAGAGGCGAACCTAGCGTTCACGGCGGCTAAGACCACAACATTTGAATGCCTATATGCGAAACTTGGGGGCAGAGCCGGTGACAAAATATTGTTCAGTTTAGCCAAGGTTCAAGAGAGGAAAGCTCGGGACCTAGACCAAATGAGGTGCTTCAAAGACGAGGATGACAAGGTATTGGTTAAAGACGCGTGCATTAGGCACAAGTGGAAGTCATACTTCCACAAACTTTTGAACAAGGATGGGGACAAGAACATTGTGCTTGGTGAGTTGGAGAACTTAGAGAACCGGCATGATTTGAGGTTTTGCAGGCGTATTAAGGTTGAGAAGGTTGAGGAGGTAATGCGGAAGATGAGTATAGGCAGGGCGACTGGGTCAGACGAGATCCCGGTAGAATTTTGGAAGGTCGTGGGACGGGTAGGCTTGGAGTGGCTTACTGGACTGTTTAATGTCATTTTAGGACTAAGAAGATACTTGAGGAATTGAGGTGGAGTAACAAAGGTGATATCCAAAATTGTAACAACTACAGGGGTATCAAGCTACTGAGTCACACTATGAAAGTGTGGGAGAGGGTGGTGGAGAGTATGGTGAGGAGGAGTGTGTCTATTTCAGAGAATCAGTTCGTTTTCATGCCGGGGCGTTCAAACACAGAAGCCATTCATCTTGTGAGGAGGTTGGTGGAGCAGTATCAGGAGAGGAAGAGGGACCTGCATATGGTGTTTATCGATTTAGAAAAAGCTTACGATAAAGTCTCAAGGGAGGTTTTATGGAGATGTCTGGAGGTTAGTGGTGTTCCAGCAGCGTACATTAGGATGATTAAGGATATGTACGATGGAGCGAAGACTGGGGTGAGGACTGTGGAGGTGTTGACAGCCAATTTTGACCCTCCCTTTTAAATTAAAATATATATACTTAATAATTTACAATAAATATTTTTAAAGTATTTTCTAGTAACAAATACTTAGTTTTTACAAATTAATTAAGTATTAAGTTTTAAAATTAATCACATAGTATTAATATTATGTAATTACAAATATATTATTTTAAGATTATTAAAATAACTTTTATATATACATTACATAGGTTCTATAATTAATTTAATGAATTACTATTTAATTTCTATTTAATTAGGCTACTATGTTAAAATTCCGAAATTAGTGTTGCATTTTAGAAAACAAAGTATTTTTATAAATAATTAATTAAAATAATTAGTAGTATATAATAATTATAATTTTATCACATTTATTGAAAATTGTTAAGTTTATTTAAATTAGTTTCAAAAAGGGATTAAAAGACAAAAGGCTACAATTGCAATTCTCAATCAAATGTAAAATGGCCATCTTTTAAATTATTTCTAGCCCAAACGTTCAGTCCCAGTCCGAAATATACCCAGTCCAAACACTCCTCTCTTTTCACTGTGGCAATCCGTGCCATTTCTTTTGTACTAATCATCGCGCGCCACGTCACCCTCCCTCACCACTCACAGAACAAACACACTCACATCTGAGCTGTTGGTCCATCTAATCAATGGTTCACATTTAATCTCTGATTTTCTCTTAATTTCAAACACCCGCCCTAGAGATTTCTTCCCCACCATCCAAAATCCGATGATCGAACGGACACCAAAATCCCCCCTAAAAATCCTAAATGTTCCAAATAATCAGGGTCGTTGATCATTAGATCCAACGGCCCAGGTTCTGTCTCTCATCTGACCCTATTCCCCCCCTAAACCCTAATCATTTCCTCTTTGACACATCCGCCTCATTTCCCTTTCCTCTCCCTTTTCTCTCGTCTTCATCAACCATCAATCTCATAACCTTGCAAAAATTTGTGCAAGGTCACCTAAAACCACTAAAAATCATTCCTTCTATCCCTGCTACACCACGAATCTCGCTGATAATTTCCTCTTTCGATCATAAACTCTTGACCCCTAATCCTAAACCCTAAGCTCAAAAAGGAAACCATCTGATTTTCTCTCATGAGTCAAAGATCGAAGTCTAAAACCACCCTTTGCCTTCTGAAATCCGTGAATCCAGCCGGCTATTCCCTATCTTATCACTCAAAATTCAAACGCCCAAATCTTAACCCTAGATTCAAAGATATAACTTCAAATCTCCGAATTTCCTTCGTGTTCTGTCAAATTGGAGCATGCATGGAGTCGATCTCAGAGTTCATCATCAGGATTCGACGTCCAGAGGTCAAACTCAGTGACCTCTGGACATTAGGGTTTTAACTGTTGGTCCAAAGCTTCAACGGTCGATCTCCTTGTGCTCAAATAAATTCGAACCTGTTTTCCCCTCTGTTTTCTTTCTAATTTCACTCGATTTTGCTACCATCATCAATCTTTCGTCACTTTTTACTCATGATTTTGAATCCGATTGAAACCCTAGAGCCTTAATGGCACTATAAAAGGGGCCTTTAATATTCTCACCTAAAAACAACTACACAATCATCTACCACAACCTCGAATCACCAACTAGACGAAAAGAACAATCATCTAAGAGCAATTCTAAGATTCCAAAACTTAGGATTTCTTACCGATTTCCCTTTTTCTCATTTCTGAGTACTTTCGCTGCTTCGAGCTTGAAGCTTTGGGGTCTTAAGCAACTAAGAGAAGTCTTTGTTTGGCCAGCTGCCGTCGAAAAGGTTAGTATACCTCTAACTTTTCTCTTCTGATCATCTTATTTGAATATTATGAAATACGCTTGTTGTCTTCTGTGAACTATAGTCATTTGTGATTCTTATAACCAATATAGAAATGTTATTTTATATTTATGAAAAGATGTTGTCTACTTATGATCACTTGTCATGCTTCTAAGTCTTTAATTAATGTTGATCAAGCTATTATGTGACCTCAAATGACTTTCGTTTCTGAGTCTAAATAGTCTACATGATTAATTCCCTTTAACATGCCTTAATGACTTCCATGCTTTTCTAAACTTCTGAGTTTTCTATCAATAGTCCTATTATGACCTTTATTGTAATATTTATCTCTATACATTGCTTACCTGTATTTTTGCGGTTGAGATTATAGTTTGATAATCCTAATTAGGACAAAACTTGAGTTCACAATTTAATCTCTCACCACTTGACTGAAGGATAAAAAGTCTAAATATTTTTAAATGCTCTTCCTCTCTATCAATGCCTGTTAATTCTGGGAATAGTTTCTGAGTTGTCATTGTGACAATCTTGTGTTCATGTCTAACAGATGGTTATACCTATATGAACCAGTGTTGTTAGGATGAATTCTTATGAGCTTCAGTGACCCTTGTGTCTATATTTTGTTGTTATCAAACTGTCTTTCATAGATCAAACTTAGTTATGGCTGTCTTCAATCTAAGTTAAACACACTACCTCATATTTAGATAGAGCCTTCAGTTACATGTTTAAGTCAAAACTTGTTTGATATAGTACTTTCTTGTATTTAATCTCTTTTATGCTACTGCTGACTTTGTAAAGCTTACATTCAGTTGTCATTAAGGTATCTTGCATAAAGTAGGATCTAATCATTCTTGTTATAGTCAAGTGATAATTTTTAAAAATCTGAGTATGATTACTTCATATCTAGATACTAATATAAGCTATACACCTGAGTTAAACATTTTTTTTCCCTTCACTTCATGACATGGCTACTTGATCCCATAACATGTAAATTTCCATTGTCTGTATAAGTTCACAACCCCACTTGAAGTGTCTGTGTATAACTGATTGAATATTGTAGGTATCCCTGCTTCTCTTCATGACTTCATGATTCCATGCTTTTGTTTTGAAGTTATACTCAGTCCTCTCTTTTTTATTATTAATCTGAAATTGAATCTGATTTTCAATCATGTGAGAAGTTCTCTATTGCTACTGATTGAACATAGTGGTTTGTTTAATATTAGTATTATTTTGAGAAGGTATTCCATTAAAGTATCTTTAGGAACTCCATGTTGAATCTATAACCTATAATCTTACTAAGAACCCTGATCATGTTTCTGGTACTTCTGATAATATCTAAGAAGTTGTTTGGTATGATTGTTTGTTTAAATCCTTGTCGATGCTTTTTCTGAAAAAATCCAGGCAGTATGGTCAGTCTATGCATGTTTTTGTGGCAAGACCTAAGCTAATCAACTCATAATTAGTTTACCAGGGCAGGAGTATTTGTATTTCTTGTGTTGCTGCATATCTGAACTCTGTATTCTTTATCTTCCCTTTGAATGTGTTTTTCCCTAATGTTTAGACCTTTAACAGTATGTTATAATGTTTCTGTTTCTCTCATATATGTGCTCGAAAGTCTGACCTTCAAATATACCTAACATGTGGATTGTTCATCTGGTGTTAGAAAAATGTAGAAATTTTTGTGTACCCTTATGTTATTCTGTTAGGAGGGAAAAGTATACTTCTGGGGTAGGGGATATAATAACATTTAGTTTATATTGAAAGTGCCTCATTGGCACTTAAACCCATAGGGAAAAATAAGTCATTAGTGGTTAGGGGTATTTGGGAGTAGAGTTTAACTCTAGGTTGGGCTGCTCTCCCCGACACAAGCATTGCCCTGGGCCTTGAGTCCCTTGGGAACTTTGAAGTGTCAGTGGATTCAAAGGGGGGATCGACCTTGAGTAGAACTCCCTCCTTAACCCTTAATTCATTAAAACTTTTGGTTCTTTAGGGGTTTATTATTTAATGACAACGAAATATTTTCAATGTAAATTATTTTCCATGTATGACCACCACATTAGTATAATTTCCCATAGTGTTAGAGTATTTATGTTTTAATATATTTGGTTCCAGTCGTTTATTTATATATTTCATACATGGTTGAATATGCGGAATATATGGAATATGTATCTAATGATTTTA